TTCCAAATCCCCCAAATTCCAAATTCCCCAACTTCCAAATCCCCCAACTCCCAAATCCCCAACTTCCAAATCCCCCAACTTCCAAATCCCCCAACTTCCAAATCCCCCAAATTCCAAATCCCCCAAATTCCAAATCCCCCAAATTCCAAATTCCCCAACTTCCAAATCCCCCAAATTCCAAATCTCCCAACTTCCAAATTCCCCAACTCTCAAATCCCCCAACTTCCAAATCCCCCAACACCTAAACTTCACCCCCAAAGTCCCAAATTTCCAAACCAAATTAAAAATTCCCAAACCAAACATTTTCAGAGAAACAATTTCCTGTAACAAGCAACTTCATGCCTGCTAGATTAATTCGCGTGACGTACAACTATCAGTCAATTAATCCCCAGCTCGCTTTTAATTATGGCCGGAACGATAGAACGCAACGATACTGCAAGAATACAAGAGAAAGAAGTTGGAAAAGAATATCACAGAAAAAGGAAGAAAGTGGCGTAGGAAATTAATCCGTTCCCAGAATTCTCAAACTCACTGTTTTCTTCCTTGTTTCTCATCCCCTTGCCTTTCTTTGGGAAATGCCACTCAAGTTCTTGTCAGCAAACGACGAACATGTCCGACCATTTCTTTCTCTTCTTTTCCCACTTTTTACAGCGGCTTCCACTTAATTACGAAAAGCGTCGTCACGCCTTTCATGCGCTTGTTTAATCCGTGGTATATCGCTTGCAATACTGTTTTCTTCAATTGAAACATTGTGTGATAAAATAGTTTGAATTAAAACTTTAACTAATCGGTTATTATCTGGTTAATATATTCAAAATATGTATTTGAAAATTGATTTGAACAAATATATTTATATTGACAAATACATTCATATAGTATATCAATAAACATTGATAAAAAAGAAACATAATTAAGACATTGATTTTAAAACATTCATAAAATGTAAAAATATTTAAAAACGTTGATAAATATGTGTATATTCATATGCATTTGAATGTGTATTCAAATATTGATGAATACATTTATTACATACAGAGTAACTCATATGTGTAATACACACATGATTTAATGTGAGAAATAAAGTAGACAATTAAATAAACAACATATAATTCAATGTATACATAAATTCCTTATTCCAATGAACATCAACAAAAATTTTAAAAAATCTTAACAAATATTGTAATTTAAAATAAACTTGAGTTGGTCAAGTTACCAATTTGGTTTGATGTTAACAATATAAATTAAAATATCGATAGACATGTTTAAAAAATATGTCCAAATATTTACAAGTATATGCAAATGTGATGTTTAAAAATTTATTGAAATATTGACAAATATATTCAAACAATATATGCATCCAAGCATATATGTATATTCAAGTATTGGCAGATATATTCAAGCAATATATGTAAT